TCTCTCCGCCCCCCCCCTCCTCTTCATCTGCGTATGAGCAGTGCTCCGTTTGTTCTTCCATTTTACCTCTTTCCGACCAGCTCTGAAATGCCCTATTAAAATCATATTGTGCTTGTTGTGAGAACACGTTCAGGGTGGCCACGCAATCGGAGATTTCAAATTCCCTGACTTTTCCCTGACCTTTCCCTGACTTTTAACGCAAATTCCCTGACTTTTAAAGGTGTTTGAAGTGGAACCTTTGCCTCTCAAAAAATTGAAAATGCCACCGAAAGTTTGAAAACAACAATTTGGGGCAAGATTCAGTCATTTTCCCTGACCAACGTTCGATTTTCCCTGACTTTTCCCTGACTTCCCTGACTTCCAGGTTGCGTAGCCACCCTGACGTTACAAGTTCATTTTCTTCTCAAAAGCAAAGTGGACGTACGAGTTGTAGTTCTCGGGGGCGCCTTGCCTACATGCCTGCTCGCGTGTCCTCTCTATCTTACCCCGTCCGGAACCAGCCGTCCTCGGACACGGCGTTCGCCGTCGCCTCCGGGTCGTTGAAGTAGCCCTTCATGACGTGGAAGCCGCGCGTCAGCAGCTCCCCCGGCTCCCCGAACGGCACCATGTCGCCGTCCTCGTCCACGACCTTCACCTGCACAAGGTCACGAGCTCAGTATGGCAGGGCACGGGGAACGAGATGTGAAAAAAAAAGTTTGCGCCGACCGGGAGTTGATCTCCAGGGCGACAGTTTTGGACGGTGTAGGAACGCCTTCTGTCAGATGAGACAGGGAGGCAAGACACGCGTTCGGCTACTCTATGTCTCGACGTCGTGTCTCCACGAAGTCTCCACGCTGACAAAGCAAGATCTCTCTATTTTTGTACGGGGCTCACCCTCGCGAGCCTTACACTCACCTCCACGTGGTCGGAGACGAACCCCACGGTGTCCGCCATGCGCTGGACCGAGTCGTCCGGCCGGCCCTGGAAGACGAGCCCCGAGGTCTCGGACAACCCGTAGCCGTTCTGAGCGGAACAGAAAACACTTTGCAGCACGCGCCGTGGGCCCCGAGAAATCTAAACTTTGAGGACCCTAACCTGGGGACCTCGGCGTCACGTCGGGGAATGTTTAAACGATTACAGAACGATATCAGAACGACAACAGATCATAACGATATCCGATTAGGGTTTCCGGAAAATTTCTGAAAAATTCCCGAAACTTTCCGGATGATAGCAAAACAACTTCCAAAGTCTAGAAAATTTTCCATTTTTTCCCGGAAATTTCCCGGAAACTTTCCAGGGTTTGCAACCCTATATCCGATATACCAGATATGTGTCGACTTCAGGATCATTTTTGTCTGTCTGATATGTACCAAATCGGACCGTTCTCTTGACGCCCTGGTACCACCGCTCTCATATCGGTCTGGCGCATTTCCTCACCCACACAGGGAAAGCTCACATGTCCCTTTGCAATTTGCACATTTGAGGTATACTAATGGCCGTGACTTTGATTTGATTCAAGAACATCACACGGAAAAAAAATGATTAGCTGTAGAACTAAACCAACAGCTTAGTGAGGGATAACTAATTATTTAGCTATAGGTATCTTAAAATCTAGCAACACTCTAGCTGACCCCCTATTTAGCTTTTGTTTGGCTAAATGGCCGTGTGCGCGTCCCCAGCCTTACGCATATCCTCTGCACGCCCAGGACGCTGCTCATCTGCTTGGCGAGGTGCGGGGTGATGGGCGCGCCGGCGACCAGGGCGGCCTCAGCGTCCAGGGTGGCGCCATCCGTCGCGCCCACCAGGTCCACGTACATGGTGGGCGTGCCCATGAGCATGGAGCAGCGCTCGCGGCGCACGGCGCGCACCGACTGCGCCGCGCTGAACGTCAGCGAGGGCAGCACGGTGGTGGCGCCGAAGTGCAGCGCGGGCATGAGCGCCAGCACAGTGCCGAAGGCGTGGAACAGCGGCACCTGCACACGCGGATTTTACATAAAAGCCTGACAGTTTTCCTGGAGGAAAAAAATCAAAACTTTTCCAGAAAAATTTTGAAAGAAAAAATGAAAAATTTC